GATAAAACAAGAACTTCTTTGGACAAGTTGTGTAAGTGAACTTTTAGGAATATCTGCAATGTAAAAGGCATTTATTGAACAAACAATTTAGCCAACTGACCTGAGCTGGTCATCAGACCCACTGCCCTATCACATACCCCCCTACCAGAGCCTGCCAATCTGAGATAGGGCTATGGAAAGGTTCGTACAAGATACCACTGAGAAAACGACTGAGAATGACATCTTCCAAGAATGTGGGCTATTCTCCAGAACATAGGATACAGCTCTTGATAGCAGAGTGATGATTCCACCCCACCACACATACACAGATGCTCACATCCAAATCCCTGGAACCTGTGACTATCTTACCTTACGTGGTAAAAGGTACTTTGAGAAGGAGAGATTATCCTGGATTATCCAAGTGGGCTTAATATAATCACAAGAGTCCCTATTAGTGAAAGAGTAGGAGGGGCAGAGAAGAAGATGTAATAACAAAGCAAGGATGAGAGCCAGAGAGAGATGAGAAGATGCCACATTGCTGACTTTGAAGGTGGAGGAAGGGGCCAAGGCATATAGGTACCTCTAGATGCTAGAAAATCCAAGTTACAGATCTTTCCTTCAGAAGATGAAGGGGAGATACCTTGATCTGATCCCAGTGAGACTCATTTCAAACTTCACTTCCAACACTACAACATAATGAATCTGTGTTGATTTAAGCCACCAGTTTGATAAATTTTTATTGCAGCAATAGAAGACAGTATCAACCCAGTATTCCTAATCAATGACCGTTATATGGTTCTCTGTTGTTACCAGGTAGAATGCACGAGTCCAGGAACCAAGCAAAGGAAGTAGAGAATGAATATGTGTGACCCCCAACTCATTAGCCCATCTTTGGAGACTCAACACCTAGTAAAGAAAATGAGTCACATTATGCATATTAATGAATAAAATCATCAGTTACCCAAGTGCTTTGAGATTCTGTTTCCTCATCTATAAATGGGGAGAATATATACATCTCAAGAACTGATTTTATTTATAAACAGAGGCTGACACAATTCTCATCTCCAAGTAAATTTTGATTGCTCTCTCTCTCTCTCTCACTTGACCATCATCATCTGAGCCTAATTCTTTTTCTTCTGAAATTAGTTTATAATCCATTCTCTCAGCTGCTGCTAAAACAATAGTTCCAGCCTCCTCATCTCATACCTAGAAGGACATCATAGTTCCTGCTGGGCTCCCTACTGCAGTCCTTCCCTTTCTATAATTCCTCCACTTTGAAAAACCTTCAAATTCTTTAAGATATCCTTTTCTAATGCCTTCTATGGCTTTCCAGTGCTCTTAGGACACAAGTTTTAAATCCTAACCTTTGAACACAAGGAGCTTCACAATTCTAGTTTCTTCTTGGTTGTATAGGAAGATGGGCTGAGGACACAGAAAAGTTGGAGGAAGAGAGAGATTCCAGGAAAACTGGGTGTTGTCTCTGCATTTTCCTTCATAAGCATGTGCTGTGCAGAAGCTGAGGCATTTCTTCAAGATCCACAAGAACCTGACATTTGTGAACATCTTTTAAGGGAAGGTGATAGTGTATTACTGTCAGGTGTTCCAGAATGGTGATTCATGCCACAAGAATGTGACCACACTCAAGAAAATTGTCACTGGCAGCAACACATATTATAGTGGACAGAAGGATAACTCAAAGTGATATGCTGAATCTGCTTCTGGAAAGTTCTCTCTCCTTGGCTGACTAAATTGGGAACGTAAATGCATTTCTGTATGCACATCTGTTTCTGTGTGTGCATATGTGCCTCTGTGTGTGTGTGTATGTATGTGTGTGTGCAACTTCTGCTACTTCCAGCATTCCTGACAGAGCCACTCTTGGCCTCTGGGTAAGGATGCTTCTTAGTTATGTGGAAATCTTAAATATCTTGCAGGATATTTAGCATCCCTTGTAATCAGACATTAATGCCAATAGTGTGTCCTGGTTACTGTGACAACCAACCTTGCATTTCCAAATATCTACTAGGGTGGCATAACTATTCCCCATTGAGGAAATTGCTTGATAGAAACAAAGCTCCACAAGGGTGAGGAACCTACATTCACATGACATCGCCACCATCTGGTACTACGCTTTCCACAAAAAAGGCAACACAATCAATATTTAGGGATGAGCAAATGAATCATTGAATTAAAACTTTGCATTCATTATTTCCTGGCATAGCAAATTACACATGCACTCTTTTCTTTCTTTGGAATGACCTCCCTTCATTCTGGTAAATCTAGAAAAATCTACCCATCCAAAGTAACGTCTACGGCAAACTTCCAGAGTCCCCAACAGTTGGCCTCCAAATGTGCTCCCTCGGCTGCTTGTTTGTAGCTCCTCCATAGCTTTTCCTATAGTGAGCTGGCTTTGTTTCTGTGCCTCTGGACCTCATAAGATTGTGAATACCTTGGAGAACATGATTGATGAATTATTTATCCATATGTCCCCCAGAGTCTCAGCAATGTCCCTGACATAGTAAAGTTGATGAAAATTTGTTTAATGAGTAAGCCAACAAAGGATAGAAGAGAGAAGATTTTGAAGTCTATGCAGAATGATTTTTAAATCCAGGGGAAGATTCTGTGAAAACTTTATAGGGAAGGGATTTCCTATGTCAGAGAGAGCCTAGGATAAGAGATGGGTTTCTGGGTTTTAGCCAGAAGAGAGGTCAAGAGAGCATCTTTGATGCAGTTGGACAACAACCAAGAACACAGGAGAGGAATGTCCAAAGACAGGAATGCTACCTGAGCCCAAGTGGTCCATCCTTGGAACATAAGACTCAGAAAACAGCCAGATTCCACACACCTGGAGCAGCTCCTGCTTCAGCCCTCTGTGGGCCATGTCTGAGCCATGTACACTCTAAAAGACAGGTAGACATGGGCTCTGAGATCTGGCTGCCTGGCTTTAAGTTTTAGCTTTACCACTTAGCAGTTAAGTGACCTGAGATGCAGTCTTTACATTTTCCATTCCTCAGTTTCCTCATCTGTAAAATGAGGATGGTGTACATGTCTGAAGAGCTGTTTTGAGGTTTAAATGAGGTAATATCAGTAATATATTTAGAGAACTTCCTGATACATCATAAGCACACAGCCAGGATTAGTTGTATGGATGAAGAACTTATGCATCATTCAGAATCTTCTAAGAAAACCTCCTAGGACTTCTGAGTACCATCCAGGAAATGGAGTAGAAATCCTGATTTGGGACCATTACTCACAGAATTTTATTACACACACTTTGTAATTCTCCATTTGCAAATCCTTATCTACAATCTCACAGAGGTTAGCAGTAAAATCTCTAAGTGAAAGCCATTGTAATTTTATTTTGGAGGAAATGAATGAGGATAATGAAGAAAAAGAATCATCTGGCTGCCAAATTTTTTTGGGGGGTGAGGCACAGTCCTCTACCATCATGCAGGGGCTGACCCTTGAAAGAAGAACGGGAAGTCAGTCAAATCCCCAGGACATGAGGCCTAGCAGCAAAGGAAACAAGGGTCTTCCCAGGATAAAGAAGTGGCTCCAATGCTTCACCTGCCATTACAGAGCTCCCAGCAATGCCTAAAATTGACCTGTCGCCTCTGCCACTGAGCGCCCCATTTCTGGCATGGGACTGTTCTTTAAGAAGGTCTTACTTCAAAATGAGGAAAGGGGAAAAAAAAAAACTAGAACGAGTCTCATTGATTAAACTGAAGTTGTCACCAAAATTATCCATTTTTTCCTCCTTTCAATTTTTTTCCATTTAGTTATAGAAATATAAAACGTGTAAATGCATGTGTTCATTTAATGCACAATACTCATAAAGCACCATTGTATCCCCACATCTGGGTGAGGAAATGGAATGCTGGCAGGGTTTCAGACGTCTCTGTGGGCTCCTTGACAATCTTCCCCTTACTTCACCGTTTCCCTTGGATTCGCCTTTGCTCTGATTCCACTATTTTTACCAAATTATCATAACCCAGCGCCAAGATCAAAGCCACAGCTACATATTCATCCATTCAAAACATTGTTCTCAGCACCTCCTCCAGGAGCAGTGTGCTTCTGACTGACAGCAAGGTGAAGCCCTGCCCTCCAGGAGCTCAGAGTTGAGGGCTCAGGCCAGAAAGGAGCAAGTGCCACAAGCATGGTGCACATGTGACAGATAGCCCAGGTCCTCTGTGGCTGGGGGAGGACCCAGCTCATCCCATGTCCTGTGCCTCCAATGCTCCCCTACCCCATTTCACCATATGTTACCCCTGGTCTAAAACAAAAAATATCAACTCCCCTCTGATTGTTTTTGTCCCAAAAGGAATCTGGCACCAAGAACATACATCAGATGCAGGTTTGGCTCTAAGCTCTCCCTCTGATGAGCTGTGTCATCTTAGAAAGCCTGTTTAACTTCTCTGGGCTTCTGGTTTCTCAGTAGTTAACCGAGGATCATAAAGCCACCTCTTGCTGAGTGACTGTGTGGATCAATCCCATGATGACCACGGAAGCACGTTGCCTACTAGAAAGGACGGCTCAAAAGTTGCAAGCGATGTTCTTTCTTGTTCTCCTTTTGTCCTTGTTGAAACACATCTGTCCTTCAAGATTCAACAGCTCTGTCTTTTATGGACTCTCTAGCTTCCAGTCAGTCTCCCTGCCCCTTGACCCCCTTGTTATTTCTGTCAACCTCACCTCCTTGGTGCTGCCATTACTTTGTCAGAGCGAAATTTAGTTTCTCGAATCAGACCCTTGAGTATTTTTGAAAGTGGGATCATGTCTCATATCTCCCTGGGGGTCTTCACAGGAGCTAAAACCCTGCTTGATGTCATTTAGAACACCCTTTCTTGTATATTCATTGCTGACTGAGCATAGTGTACTTTGCTCTGTGTTGGCATTCAATTACGAGACACTCTTGGAATGATACTTTGATATAGTTCACTCAGAAATCTGTTATGAAATTAAAATGGCTGCAATGAAAAGAATACCGGCAATGCCTGAATGTGTAATGTGTTGTTAAGTTGACCTACCTGAAGAATCGCAAGTTCCAGATTCTGATTGACATTCCCCCTCCTCGACTGCTTTCCCCTGGCAGGTGTTCAAAGGTGCCCATCTGCCTCAGTCTTGTCACCTGTAAAATGAAGCCATTAACTGCTGCCTATCAATTCTGAACGAATTAAATGTCAACAAATTCTATGAATAAGCCTTTGGAATGACCTAGAAATAAAGAAAAAAAACTAGCTGGGCACATGCAAGTAATCCCAGTGGCTTGGGAGGCTCAAGCAGGAAGATCACAACTTCAAAGCCAACCTCAGCAGCTTAGTGAGGCCCTAAGCAACTTAGCAAGATCCCGTCCCTAAATAAAATACAGGAAAAAAAAAAGGGGTTGGGGATGTGACTCAGTGGTTACATGCCCCTGGGTTCAATCTCTGGTACCAAAAAAAAAAAAAGGAACCAAACATATTAAATAAATACGTGCTTATTCCTACAGTACCTCAAATTAGCCATGGATATCATGAACATCCACCAACCTCATGGACAATCTGCTCTACCAATTGTTTTTTACTAATTTAGTAAAATAAATAAATAAATTTGTTGTTCCCTATATCATGGATTTGGGGGTTGAGAAAAGAAAGTAAACTTCTAAATATCACAGAGAAAATCTCATTCTCCCCAGTCCATATTCCTTCTCATGCCTCAAAAGTCAGTGTTAAAGTGAAGAATAACAAGTTACCCAAATGATGTGATTTCTTTCACATCATTTCCCTTTGACTTTGGTTCAAAGCTGATAAGCCATAAATCAGAGGTGGAACTCTGATTTCAATGTACCCATTTTTAACGGGTACATTTTTAATGTTCTAAATTGTTTGCTTTTGGTCTAGGATTTGTGTACTTTTTTGCCAATTCACATAACCATGCACCAACAGTTGGTGTTGAAGATGAATAAATTAACTGCCATCAATAATTAATGTAACTTACTGTTTCTTAAAGGGAAAGTTAAAAAGGGAAGCTCAAGGAAGACAATGTTTAAAGCCAGAAAGACTCAAGTTTGAAACCCAGTCACTCACCACATAGATCACGGGTTACCTTCTCTGAGATTCTGTTTTCTCATCTACAAAATGAAGAGAATAAAATTGAGTTTGCAACACTGATATAAGAATTAGATGATGTTAGGTAAAATATCCATCACAGTGTTTGCTCTGAGGAAACACACAATATTTTTAAATGTCTCAGATACATGCTGGCAATTTACATTCAATCAGATTTAATCCAGCTCTCTAAACTTCTATTTTAACTGTCCTTGACTGGAAACCAGTGGAGGGAGGGCAAGAAGTGGTCAGAATACCCTGGGAAGGAGGGAAGGAGAAAAGGGAGGAGGATTCAGAGTAGAGTTTAGAAAAAAAAAAATATATTCAGCATCACCATTACTTTAAATTGAATTATTGGGTCATTTAGAATATGGTTTTCTGGGTTCTGTATAGGAGCCATGAGCCATCTTTCCGGTAGCTTAGATTTTGTTTCTAGTGGGTTGTGGTTTTTGTTGTTTTTGTCACTGCTGTTTTAATGAATGCCAGCAATGATCATTGTCACCCAAGAACAACTTACAAGCAGACATCCTTTTAACAACCAGCATTAACGGCGGCTATAGATTTCCTGGTTTCATCTGTGCTACTGCTGCTTATAACGCTAGAGTTCATAAAGGTGAAGAGTGTCTGACAGCATACTTCTGGCATTTGAAGATTTCATTTGACAATATCGACTGCAGTGAACTGAACACCCACCAAACAACACTGATAAGAGTATCTCTCGTGGTTTTGAGAGGCAGCCTGATACAATGAAAAGAGATGTGGGCTCCGGATTCACAACAGCTGGTCCCACCCCGGATTCTACATTGGATTTGCTCTGTGACCTTGAGCATTTTATTAAAGCTCCCTGGCACTGAGCAGCATCTGTAAAATTGGGGCAGTATCATTGTAATACAGCTTCGACTCACAGTTCGGTGGCATGGCGTTTCTATTACAATCTAGTGAGCACCAACAATGGAATGAGCTGTGCAGAATACAGAATAAGTCTTTGGCTGACAAACTAAGCTGGGAAGGCAGGACATAAACCCAGAGAAAAGATGGGGAAACAAATTCGGTGGAATTACTCTGGATTACAAAGAAATTTACAAATACAGCTTTAGATAGACTCGTATAATGATAATAATTAAGAGGCAGAGGATGCTGAGCCCACATTGGAATGGAAGGACAGGGAGATTGGACACTATAGCCCAGTTCCATTTCAACATTCAAAGCTACAATTATGGTGTTTGTGCTGGACGTCACCGCCAGTCCATTTGTATTTTCCTGGCTGGTGAGCTGAAGTCGAGCTTTGACACATGGATTTTGGCTCTACCTGGGGGTGCAACTCATGCTATCAAGACAAGTCACACATGCAAATGACCCTTACCTCTGGCTCTTAGCTGCAAACATGGAGGATGGAGTGGGCAAGGGAGAATGGTCCTGCATCTGTTTATGAATTCAAGGGCCTAGAGCCCAGGGAAATAGAGGGCCACTTTATTGCCACAGCTACTATTTCCTGATAATTGGAAGAGGGACTTTGGTTATAAAACAGAAACCAAAATTACTGCAATCAGCTAGGATGGAAACAAGGAAGGGGTGCCAAGTAGGAGCATGTGATGAATGGAGAAAGCAAGTGGATGGGATCGGGGGTAAGAGTCCTGTCACCATGTCCTAGAAGAGTAAAGTGAACCCCTCAAATGCAAGCAGGGTCCAATGAGAGGATTATATTTGAGAATCAGAGCATAGACTCAGTATGATTCCTAGCTTTGGTGAAAGAGCTCAGAGAAGGGTTCTTCAAGGTGTGGTCCACATACCGTGTTACCAGCCCACAGCAACAGAGGTACAGGCATTGAGGGTGAACACTTAGAAACTTTTACAGCAGTGTAATAGAGTAATTATATGTCTGTTGAAACTAATACTAACAAGAAAGAAATTGAGATGTTATGTTTATGTCTTCTTAAAATTTCCTTTTTTAGCACTTCATTTTTATGATGTTTTACAAAAGTGCTGGTTTATGAAAGATTTAGAAATTAAATTTTTTAAAATGGTCATTTACCACAGATAGCATGTTGAGAAGCAACGGTATCGTTCACACAATGTCTGCAAGTTAAAGGGCTTTGCAAGCGCACATCTGTCCAGGCCGCAGGTGGTCTCAAGGCACCTCAGTAAGCATCTCTCAAGCACCAAATAGCACGTTAGTAGGAAAGGAAGCAAATATAATGTATAAATAAAATAAAATAAAATATCCAATTTACCGAGAGGTGGGTTTAGACTCAAGCTATGTATCAGTCTGGATTTAACCAGAAGACAAAAATCACAAGGCAATTTAAACAAAGGAAGCTTGATATCAAGAAATATTAAGCTATGATAGGGCAGTAAACACAAAGATATAAAGAACACTCTCAGGGTTACCTTACCACTAAGGGATCAATACTAGAGGGGATCAATAGCTAGAGATCAGAACTCACTGGAAACAACAGAAATCTGGAAAGTTTGCTGGGTTCCCCCGGCCAGAGTTGGCCTATGGTTGTAGAACAAGCAGAAACAAACTTCCAGGGAGTGGGTTAGTTCATGTTGGGGCTGGGCACACTGAATTACATGGGGCACAGCTGCAGGCATGAGGCCTCAGGTGGGCAGTGTTCTGTAGGGAGGACCATGGCAAAGTGGTCATCTGGTGAAGCTGGGATTGCAGGTGACCAATGGACTGCATGTTCTGGGAACATGACTGGGAGAAAAAAAACTACCAGCTATCCAACCCCCACCTGCAGCCCCACCTCGCTTGTGCACCTCTGATGGACTACCCATCAGAAATGAGAAGGCAAAGATGGTGCACCAGAGTCCAAGAGAAGCCCCCTCCACCTACAGTATTCCTCCCATGCCTTCCACTGGCAAAAGTTAGCATCATGGTCAGCATAAAAGCTAAATGTTCAGTGTCCCACTTATTCTTGCAGAACACAAAGTAAGGACTGAATTTGGAGCTAAGAGCCAACACACTGAAAATTGGCACATGTTTAGAAAGAACAGTATTGCAACTGGAACACAGAAAAAAAATAACTCATAAGGCAATACAATCTTTAAAACATAGGCACTCATTTAGAAATATTAACTTTAATTAAACACCTATGGGGTACAGAGAATTCTGGAACTAGAACACATAACACACATACTTGACACATAACATCTGAGTGCTCAACTCTTGGTCAATTGTAGACTGATTTTCTAAAATTCATGCACAGCCACCCTTCTCTTCTTAAAAAAGAAGAGAACATGTGAAACTGTTGATATGTGGTATAGGGGCCCTGGAGTCAAACAGATGGATTGGAATCAGGCTCTGCCATTTTCAAGTGATGTCATTTGGGGTACGTTAACCTGATTTTCACTTTTCTCAAGTATAAATAGAATTAATAATACCTACCTTGAGGGCTAGTTGCAAGGTTTAGAAGCAATATATAAAACACCAGGTACAGTATCTGAAAATTAGTAGGTGCTGAATAAATGGTAGCTATCATGTGTAGGTGTCAGTTCTAACAAACAGGGAGACAAATCAGTTGAGCTAGGAAGTGTCCTTGACATTCTAAGGAAACATGCTGCTATGTTCTACAAGAAGCATAAATACAGATAAAATCTAGTAAAAGCTAATGTTGGAGTTCTCAATTACAGGCTAACTAGGAAAATGTGCTTTTCATTAAGAACATGCACCAAGTACAGCAGAATTAATGATCGGGCTGAGATCTTCAGCCCACACCCCACCTGCCTTCTTGTAATGGCCTGGTAGTGAATAGAACTAGCCTCTTGAATTTGGGCCTAATCATGTGACTTTATTTGACCAATCAGAAGTGGGTAAGATGTAAGGTAAGTGGGTAAGAAGTAGGTAAGACTTCCAATTGTTCCTGAAAGGTGTGTGCATGGTTGGCTATGCTCTCTTGTATTTCTGACATCTATTAGAACAATATTCTGATTAGCCCACAGATCCCAAGGGGAAGCTGTGACATGTGAAGCAGAGTGACCTCGCCAACCTGCAAATTCAGGTATGAGAATAAATAGTTATTGTTTTAAACCACAGGATTTGGGGGAAATTTGTTATAATGTAGCAGTGAATCAATATACCTATTAACCTGTGAGAGTTACTATTGAAAGAATTATTGTTTGGGGCAGAAAATTTGACCATATGAATTCAAGTTCACTTCCAAGTGTAAGATGCTATAATGTTCCCTTTCATTCATTCATGGGATGAACAGGCAAAAGACACGGAGCAGAATTTGTCTTATTTGCTGCAGAAAGAATGTTTTGTTTTTTTCTTAATTAACTTCCACACCATGAAAAATCTAGAGATTTCACATAAAATTCTTGCTTCTAAAAATTCAGAAGATATGTCAACATTAAGCCTCACCACAGCGTGGTGGCCTTCAGTGACAAGGGCCACGTAGTGTCTGTTAGACCTGGTGTGCCCTCTCCACTTGGTCATGCTCCTCACCACTCCCTACTGTATCACACCCACGTGAACATAGAGTCAGAGTCTCTCTTCCCTGGAGGAGTGGAGAAAGCCTGAGGAAAGGCCTGAGAGATTACCATGGCATGTGTGGGGGTGGGGGGGTGTGCATGCGTGCATAGTCCCACACTATAGTCCTGGTCAAGAAGAAAAAGCAGGAGAGTCAGGAATGAGTGAAGGCATTATCCAGAGTAGTTTTCGGGAGACCAGCAATCTAACAAAGGAAGCTCAGGGAAGGTTTTCAGCAGGGAAATCTATACAGGAATGACACCCCTCAGATCTTGGACTATGGCATTCTTAAAGCTGGATAGGAGAGATGGTACAGGGGCGGGGCAAATGGCAAGATCTGAGAGACACCGGACTGACCCACATGGGCAGCAATCAGAGACTTAGGCCATGAAAGAGCCCCGTTCCTGCCTGGTTCCAGCGAGAAACATTTAGCATCTTGTCTGGCTTTACTACTTTAAGTCATCTCTGAAATAATCAACAGAGTAGGGGAAAGGTGATGTTTAGGCTAGAGGGTGAAATGGGGCCAGGAGAGTCTTCCCTGCTTCACAACTGACAGAGATTGAACAGGAGGAGAGTGTGGGTAAATAGAGAGATGTCACAGCGTTTGCAGTAATGGCCTCAAGCCATGAGTGTCTCTTTTCTCTCTTTCTACACAGTCTGCATATATCCACCCACTCCTTGTCAATTCCTGTGCTTTTAATGAAATAGTGCATGTGAAAGCAATTTGCATAGCACTGGGCACATAGCAGGTGCTCAATGAATATTACCCTGCATCTGAGACTCTGAGTCTGAATCGAGATAGACATTTCAGTTTGCCAATCTGTATTTCTGTCAGGTCTGCAAGACGAGCGTCAGCTGTAATAGATTCAGTACTTTGAGGGTATTACTGCAGCTCAAGAGGAAGGAGACCACTAATGAGGAGGAGCTTCAGCAAGAGGAAGAGGATGAAAGAGTAACTCATACTTTTATTCTTACAGGAAATAATTGCCTAGAAATCGCATAAACTTTCCCAAGTTGAAAAAGAATACTGTACTTTAAATTCCCTCTAAAGCGCATGGTCTACTGACCACGTTTTTACCTGGAGCTGAGTCATTTGGCACAGTCAATGCAATTACAACCAAAGTCAATATACTCTTTCTGCTGCATATTTCCTTTCATCAGCGGGTTTCAAAGGGTTGATATCAGTATGGGGTGGAAACACTCTTCCCAGAGCATCTTAAGTTATGGAGATGTGAAGAATTTATTCTACCATGTTAATTTTTTATGGGAACAGTATGATATAGTAAAGAGTATTAAAGTGTCAAGGATTCTAATACTAACCCTTCCATGTATTGAGACTTTGGGCAAGTCACTTTATTCTCTGGGTCTTAGCTTTTCCCTCTAAAAGGGGATTAGATGAGACCAGTGGCCTCCAAATCTAGCTGAATATCAGAATCACCAGGGGAAACTTTTAGAAATTCAGATTTCTGGGCCCTAAGCCTATTACTCAGAATAAGAGATGGAGTCAAAATCAGGCCCTGAAAAAGGAACCACAGCATTCTCATTAAGGACACAAACCTGTAGTCTCATGGGAAATGGTGACCTTGGCTTACTCAATCACATCTGGGTGTCAGCTGGGGGTTGCTTGATGGAAACTGGGCTCCACAGGAACAGCTCAGCTCTAACCCATGTGCCTCCCATCCCACCCCAGGGACCAGAATTCTCAATGGGGAACACCTGGTGGCTGCATCAGAGGTGCAAAAGAACCAGATTGACCTCACAGGCTCATTTCATGACTCTCCTACCTTGTTATGATTTGGATATAAAATGTCCTTCCAAAATCTAATGCATTGAAAGCATGGACCCCAACACGGCCAGGTTCAGAGATGGGACTTTTAGGTAATGACTGGATCAGGAGAGTTCTGGCCTCACCAGTGCATTAAAGCATTTGATGTATTAATAATTTGAATTACTATGGGATGGTAATTAGGCATGGTGAGGCATGCCTGGAAGAAGTACATAATGAAGACATGGCCTCGGGGACTGTATCTGTCTTCCTTTCTCTCCTTTTCTCCCTCTCCCTCCCCCATCCTTCTCGGCTGCAGTGAGCTGATCGGCTTTCTTCTACTGTACCCTTCTGCCATGATGTTTCTGCCAGTCAGCCATGGATGGAATCTTCTGAAACCATGAGCCATTAATCTTTTCTTCTCTATGTTGTCTTGTCCGGTGCTGTTTTGGTGACAATAATGACCATGTCTGTTAACACCCAGTTGGCCCCAACAAAGCCTCTGCTAATATCAAAGGGGGGGGGGGGACATGTACTTTCTGTGGGAATTAGTAGGAAAGAGTGAACATTTGTGTAGAATAATCCAGTCTACCACAGGATGCCTACACACACGTATATTTAAATCCACAAGTGGCTTGGATGCACAGCCAAGAATAAATATCTAGAGTATTTTCTAATTTTTACATTCTAAGATATTTTAAACTGATAATGAGAAACTGAAGTCAGGTAGAGGAGCAGGTAATCTGGGTGAAATTAGTCTACATCAAGCAAAAGTCAACAAGATGAGGATCCAGTGAACTGAGAAAACAGGAAAGCAACTAACCTTCCTTGAGCATCTGTTATCTTCCAAGGACCTACATATGAGGCCCCTTGGCTGGTTCTTGAGGGAGCCCTGCTGGTTAGGTTTGGTTATTCTCATGGTTTTTATCCTCTTCTTTTAGGTGAGGAAAAGGCCACAGGAGACAGTTCCCTTGCTAATGGCTACAGAGCTGTCACGGAGCAGTGACAGGATTCCAATCCTCCTCTGCCTCCAGAGTTTCTGCTCCTTTCACTGCACCTATAGCTCCTTAACCCGAGGCTCTGTCAAGGACCCAAGCCAGCATGAGGTCTACTGCAGGCAACCCCACATATGAGGCTGCACACATCTCCAGAGAACCCTAGAGTCTGTGTGTCTCCTCTCACAGGTTGTGCCTCTTTTGTGGCACTTACTCGGTTTTATAACACAGTCCTTTCTTCCAGAGGATCTCTTGGCAAGTGACTTGATCTCTCTGTGCCTTGGTCTTCTCATATCTAAAATGGGCATACTAGAACCTATCTCATAGGGTTTCATAAGGAGTAATTGAGTCAATATTAATAACACCTGTGTATGTGCAAAGTCTGGCACATGAGAGGTGTTTGTTGAATAAATAATGGTCTCATTTGCACACGTCTTGTATATAGGCTGGAGCAGTGGTTCTACTGACCATATCCCACTTCCAGGAAATCAGAAACTCTGGGGATGAATCCCAGCTGTCCTCCAGGCAACCCTGACACATCCAAACTAGCTCAAGTGTCTTTCTATCCTCTGGCTCTTATTAGAAATCACAATAGATAGCAAAATAATAGTATTTGGCATTTATTGATTCCCCCAATGTTTGAGGCATACTTTGGGTACTTGGAACTCTCCTAACCACTCTATGAGGCAATTGCTATCATTATTCCCAATTTACAGAGGAGGACATTGAGGGGTAACAAGGATGAAGTAGGCAGACCTGGGATTTGAACCCATTTTGTTTAACCCACACTCTTTAAGTTCACCTGACATGGACGAATGGAGACCTCTGAATAAATCAGAAATAACTCATACTCACAAAGCCCTAGCTTGAACACAAACTTACCATCCATGACCACTCCCCCAACCCCCAGCCCTGCTCCATAGGGAAGTTAAAGATAGGAAACAATTGCTCTTCTCTGGGACTAGAAGTCACTGCAGCATCTCCTGTCTGCTGGGGCCACAGTCTCCAGTCCCAATTTGAGAAGACCTCCCAAAATTTTCTTGACCCTCTCCTCAGTCTCTATTTTTAGACCTCTGCTGCTCTGGATTCATCTGCTCATTGGTTTCTTTGGTCTCTAACTAGACCCCACCTTCTCCCAGGCTCACCCACATCTCCAGCCTCTTGGCCAGAAGAAACACTGCATGCTGCTAGACTTATTAGGACTTCTGTAGAAGACTCACCGAGCCAGCTCCTTTGGCTAATTTTCAAACCATGCTATCAACTCCATTTGTGCCTAGTTCTTAAAATACACAAAACAAGCTATCCTGGCTGTTGAGAGGCCATCTCTAAAGGGCAGCTGTGGAATTCCTGAATTTGTTTTTCTCCCAGTGCAGTTACATGAGATCAGCGTCCTCCCTCCACTCACTGCATTTGCAGCTGAGCTAGTTCAGCTTTCTCTTGGATTCTGAGCGCTTTAATCATAGCAACAACGCGCACATGGTTATTTATAAAGTGCCCTCGCTAAATCCAGGTGTGGGGCGGGAACTAATAAGCGAAACTTTAATCTCACCTGGGATAGAGGCCGTCTATGCCAGCCAAAGCAGCAGAAAAGAGCCGGGCTCCAAAGGGTCACCACTGGCCTTCCACGGCCCTCAGAGAGAGAGAGAGAGACAGAGACAGACAGCGAAGGCCTGTGCACATATGCTGTGGGGAGGGGCCCACAGATTCAGAGGAAACCCCAGTGGAGGCAGCAGCTGCTTTTGTTTCCTTGGAGGCAGAGCCCAGTGGGAGGGGGGAAGAAAGGAGCCAGAGGACAATTGCTAGAACGGCATTCCCTGGAGTTCTAAGGAGGCAATTAGAGCCACTGAGTTTGAGACTATCAAAGTGGGAGTGGACTTCGATGACCCCCTTGTCCAGCCCCCTCATTTTACAGCAGAGGTCACCCAGGCCCCCAGGAGGACAGTGATTTGCCCAGAGTCACAGCATCCATGAGGGCTGGGACTAGAACCCAGATCTTGGTACACAGCACAATGCTCTGCCTCTTCCAGAATCAAAATCCTCCCGGCAGAGGGCCTGTGTCTGAGGTCAGGTGAAGGAGCAGCCAAGCTCAGGGCAGGGCAGGGCCTGCACTCCGGAGCATCCTGGGGGCAGGGGAATTTCTCTTAGGAAGCACAGTCAGGTTCAGGAAGAGGCGGAGCCTGGGAGGGACAGAGGAGGAACATGGGGAGAGGCTGTTTGAGCCACCAGGCAATTATAATTTTCAGCTACCTGTGTAATGTCCTATGTACTATTCCTGCCACCTTCAGCAAAGATGTTATTCATCTCTGCATATCTAAGAGCCTATTCTCAGAGTCCTCAAGGGATCCTGCAAGGGAAGAATCCCAAGGTGCCTGGAGTCTGGCACTCTGAAGGGCTGGCCAGTAGTCCCTTAAGAAGCCTAATAAATCTGCTACCAAATGCGGAAGAAAGGACCCAAGGAATGTGCGCTGGCTTCGCCGCCCTCCTCCAGGAACAAGTGTCCTCAAGTCAGGCAGCCCTTGGCCCCTGCACCCTCTGCCCTCCTCCCTCCCTGCACACTTGCCCACCTGAATTGTCGCTTTGTCTCCTGGAGCAGTCTGGGCGATTTGCATCTTTGCTGTTCTCCGCTTAAAAATGACAGAAGAACCTCCACAGAGTGGAGCCCGCCCAAGCAAAATTTCTGCAGACACCAACAGGGGCACAGAATTCGATTTGACATTTAGCCAATGTGATGCCCCCTCCCTGTCCCCTCACGTACACACCACAAAGCAGACTGTAAGAAGTACAGTGCTGAGAAGGCGGGGTCAAGGAAGGCACTAAAGCGGAGGAGGCACAGATCTTCCTTCCATGGCCCATTTAGGAAACACTTCTGCCCAGAGATCTGTGCGCAAGAGTCACAGAGGTCAATGGCAACTTCTCCATCCTGGGTGTGCTTTCCCTTTCTAACCTTTAAAGAGGGGAGGAGAAAGAGAACCGTATTTCTCAGGAAACACACACATCACCACAATCAATTCTTCAACAACCCAGTGCTCTTCAAGTTCAAGATGGGGCTGTTGTATATCAGAGAGGTGAAATAGCTCATCCCAGGACACATGTTCTGTACCAGAGTCTACATCTGTATGCTCTTCCAGATGCCTGTTAGCCCTCTGGATGTTTTTTTTAAGGTGCTATATTTAGGAAAGGTAGCAAATATTGTCACTCAAAAGCCTACATTTCCTTCCAATTAAAAAGATATGCAAAAGGACCTCTTCTATTTATCTTTTTTATGTAACATGCCCTCTAGCGCTTTCTGCTGTCAGTTATATGGCTCACTCTCCAATCGCAGACAGAAGAGAAGGATTCACTAAAGGGGGGAACCTCTCCACAGCAACTTTTTACAAGAAGCCCTACGGTGGGACTAAGCCCTTCATCCATATTAATGAGGCATGTGTGGAAGTGGCAGGAGCGTTTGGAGCGTGGCTGAAAGAAAAGTGCTTCTTAACTTGGAGCTGATATAAAATACAAGCCGTCTGCTGGCCTGTGAGTACATTTGATAAGTTTTTAAAATGGCAGTTTCTTCTTCAGGGTTCTCAAGTACCAACAAAATAATCCTACAAAACATAGAATGCATAACCAAGCTTCAGTGGAGTTCCAGTGGAATTAGGATCGCTCCTGTTTATAAACAGTGGTGAGCCCCAATTCCCGGTGGTCCATCAGCAGAAGGCTCTGTCTTCATTACCTCCTTCTGTGAGGTGCACCCACCTTTGTCACTGGGAGCAGGAACCGAGGGCATTATGGGGGCTCACATGTCCATGTGTTGACAGAATGAAATGTCCAACAGCCAGAGGTTGGGACTTGCATTGGGATGTCACTGGGAGATGGTAGAAGATTCCAAGAAATTTATCACTGCTACCTTCTTGGTTTTTGATGCTGTCAAATGGGAGGTTGCAGCACAGGGACTGGGACAATGAAGACTGATAGAACCTGGTACTTCCAGATGTAAAACATTTCATCTTGATTGATGTGAGTCAGAGAAGTGGACCTCCCACTGCCCTACCGCAGGGATGTGCCACTTCCAGGCAGAGCTTTGGGGATAAGTGTGCTTCTCACATAGATGGCTTCCCAGGATGGTGCCTGCAGCTCAAAAGGTGACAAATCTCATCCTAACATCTTAGAGTCTTTGATGGAGTAAACCAGGAAAACCTATATTTCAAATCTTCCTTGTTTTGCTAGAGTTGGAGGCTATTTGAAAGAAACTTCTATGAGTGGGAGGGCAGGTGCCAAGCTGCTTTAAAGTGCTGTCATCAACAGGGGGCCATCAATCAGACTGAGGAGAGGACATTCTTCCCTTGTGTGGACTGAGCTCTACTGTCCTACCCCAAGAAGCTCTGGGCGAGTGTCTGGAGATAGCAGCACAAGCACACAGACTGCAAGTTTCACAGAGTCCTAGCAGAGCATCTGGCACATTTTAATGTTCAGTTAGTGTTTGTTTTAAGCATGAAAAGCTGGGGTTCTCAGCAAAGGCAATGGAGGGGCATCTGTCCCAGGCAGAAACAAGTAAGCCTGAGAGTTGGGAAGAAAGTGGGGATGGATGACTGATGTAACTGAAAAACAAGAGAGTAGGCCCAGGAGGGGCATTTCTTGGGGATTCCCAGAAACAATGAGGGGGGACATTTTTTAGAGGAACAAACTTCTCTTCAGCTGGGGGAGACTAGCTCAAACAATGGAAAGTGTTGGCCCGGTAAAACACACACACACATACACACACACACAACCCCCACACACACTTTTTCTCAAGTTTAAAATATCTTTTAGGCTCAGGGGGCTTAGGCAAGAGGATTGGAAGTTCAAAGCCAGCCTCAGTAGAAGCAAGTCGCTAAGCAACTCAGTAAGACCCTGTCTCTAAATAAAATATAAAGTAGGGCTAGGGATGTGGCTCAGTCGTCAAGTGCCCTTGAGTTCAATTCCTGGAATTTCCCCCCATATCCTGTAGTCCTAGCTTTATGACTTACAAATCAATAAATAAACATGTATTAAGTCCAACCTTGCCAAAAATATTTTAAAAATCTACTAACATAGCCTTTTTCTCCAGGATTACTAAGGGTTCAGAATATCAAATTATCAAAAACTAGTAAATTATTTAAAATTCTACCTAGCACCAAAGTACAAAGAATTAATTGAGAACAAGGGTTCTAAAGCATTAAACCTGAATGTAAAAAAATAATATGCTAAAAAAATAGAGCAAAAAGTAACTTTCAATCACTCTATAAATTATTTTCTTTCATCCCTAGACTGATGGGAACTTTTTAAAAAAGCCAAGAACCAGAATACCACTGGAAGACATCTGTTCCTCTCATCCTTTAGTGAAGTACAGATGGAGACTCCTCCGTGGTCTTGGTAAGAGGAATTGGTCATGCTCATTAGCCTGGGCAGATTTAGGTTTCAAATAATAAGCTAAATTGAGAACTACCAAGAGACCAACTCTTGTAAAAGCTGTACTGTAGCCTGAAGAGGGACATGCCAATTTTAGATTAATTAAAAAGGTTATTAAATTGTTCAGATGGCATGTTAATGAGCAATCTGCAGGGGCTCAGTCAACAGCCACACCTCCCATCCTTAATTACAGGACCCTTACTGTAAAGAATCTGGATAAGCACACAGAGGAGCTAGAAGAGCATCCTTCCTGAATATAATGTGAACATGGTCAACAGAGGACATCTCATGAAGAAAGATGGCAGTGACACATGCAATGTAAATTCTTTCAGAAGAAATGTAATGCTCATTGCAGCCATCTCAGAGACACTGAGATGTAAGAGTTAATTAAAGATACAACAGATCACATGCCTTTATAATATATTCTGAACCTAAGAGGTGCAAGTGCTTTGGTATATTTTCTAAACTCCCATTTTTCCAAATACTTGGTGATAAAAATTAGAAGTTGTTATTGTTTCTATTTTACAAGGTTCACCGAAATTTATAGATCAAGACATTGTAATATCCACAACCTATTTTAGCATTCATGCCAGAGAAAGACCGCACTACTGTCCAGATCAGTAATTCTCCAAGTGTGGGCCACATGGGGCTACCTAATGACCCCTTGCACTGATATATAATTGCAACCCTGCTTTGGTCCTTTTGTGTGAATTGCCCATAATTCCATAGATTTTAGTTGCTATAAACACCAAGTTTATTGTCTAGTAAATTCCTAATGAAGTTGATAATGGCTACTCAAACTTGGCATTCCTAAACTAAAGCTAGGCAGCTCCTAAAATTTATTGGGGAATATAATTCAATATTCTTCTAAGAAGTCTGCCACACAGTGCTTAGCAGGGATGAAAAACTCCTATTGCATAAGAACACTTGCAGATTACTGGAAGCCTCACAAAATTTAGGAAGGGTGATTTGTTTTCAGTGTATCAGAAAATCTGGAGCTATTCATTATTTGAATAGCTACCATTATTTTTTTAACTCAAAATTACTAGTAATTTATTTTTGTTACTAAGTTGTGAGTTATTTGGTTAATCCTATGGCATTCTTCCTGTATACTGAGATGCCACTGTCACCATGTTCTTTTCATTAGAAAATAGAAATAGATAGAATAAATGCATTGTGGGTTTTTGTACTAATTGGGTTCAGTAAAAAATAATGGAGAACATTAGTCTACACAAGTAATATTGCATAGCAATTGAAATATAGCTTCAAACCTTTTCTGAATATTTTTCATGACTAAAACATGAAGAAAAGTCAGAAGCCAATATATTTTACTTTTGTTCCTAAAATTATACCTTTAGAATAAATGAACCAATTGAATGAATAAACATTTATTATAGGCTATGTTGTGAATTTTTTTCAACTTTGTTATTTCAATACATTTCTCCAAATTAGGAATACCAGGTTTGCAAATAACCAGTTAAAAATAAATTTCACCCAGACAACAAATAATTTCTTAGTTTTAGTATGTCCCAAATATTGCACGGGAAGTACTTACACTAAAAATTATTTATGTAAAATTCAAATTAAATTGGTTGTGCTAAATTTGATCTGGGAACAATGCCCCCACACACACCAAAACCATCTTGTATTTTATAGAGAAAAGCAAGAGAATTTAATAAAGTATGTTTTGTCTAAAGTACCAAATCAGATTGATTAGTATTGCTGATCTGAAACATTCAGAGACTCTAAAAATCTGGGTTCATGATCGATTAGGAATGTCTGCCATGGATAAAACCCAAGGATTTATTGATACCGGTGTTGATTTTTTGCTGTTTCTGCCTAGTTGCTAAACTAGAACTTCTACCTTATAAAGTCTTATTAGAAGTTATCTATTGACTGGGACTCTTTCTTCTTTTGTCATGTTCTCCTTCACCTTTTATGGTATGGAATCGTTAGCCTTGGTCAGGGTCTTCATGTAGGGTTTTGCTTCTACCAAGAAATTTCTTCTCTTCTTCTGTGCCCAAGAAATTTCTGTTCATTCTTCAGATCCAGCCCAAACATCTCTCCTCAGATCAGCTTTCTAACACCCCAGAAAAGGTGAAGAATCATTTAATATAGACTCATTGCAACTCTCGGTTTGTGAACATTACATCAATATTTGATTCATATATTTTTCCCATGACTAGACCATAAAATTCTTAGAGGCAAAATCAGTCTTTGTTTTATTTGGCATTTTATCTACAGAATTTGGCATGGTGATTGCTATACATTATCTTATTAAGTGACCCCATCGTTTTCATTCTCAGGCTATAATCACAAATTACTTAAAGACTTTCTAAAGAAAATAAATAAAGTAAGCCAAGTACAAATCAGAGTAACTTTTTAATTTACACAGTTGCTGCTGTAATTTGGATCTTGACTGTTCCCCAAGGCCCACATGTTAAAGGCTGGGTCCTCAGCCTCTGGCAAGACTGGGAGGTAGTGGAGTCTTTAAAAGATATGACTTTGTGGAACGAAGTTAGGTCACTACAGGTGTGCCTTGAGCTGGACACTGGGATCCAGACCCTTCCTTTCTCTCTTTCCTTCCTGCTGCTATGTGGTGAGTAGGCCTCCTCTACCACATGCTCCCTGCAAAGCAACAGAGCCAAGTGACCGTGAACTAAATATTCTGAAATTGTGAGCCAAAATAAACTTTTCCTCCATATCAGTTGTTTGCCTTAGTTATTGTGTCACCATGGTGGAAAATTGACAAGCACACTTGGTGTCAATATCTTTATATATTTGGAAAACACTTCAGTGGAGAGTTGAATAGGGAAGAAAAGTTCTTAGGTATGTACATATTTGAGGTTTTGCCATTAGTTAAATAGAGAACATTTTGTTAAAATGTGTTCTAAGCATGCTTATTTAGTAAACATTTTTATCAATTCACTCATCTGCAATGGCTTTTTTGATATGTCAATAATATAGGCTATTATCCCCATTATTCAAGCACTAATCTAGGGGTTTCTATGATGCTATGTTGTAGATACAGTTAAGGCTCCTAATCAGTTGACTTTAATTAAAGTCTGTTTTTTAAAAAAAAAAATCCTACTATTTATGGATATTACAAGTAGGACTGATACAATCAGTGGAAGACTTTAAAAGAGGCCTCACTCCTCTCTGCAAAAGAAAACATTCTGAATCTAGACAGCAGTTATGGCCCCTGGTTATGAGTTCCAGTTTCTTTTATAGTCCTACAGATTTCAGACTTGCTTATTAACCCCCACATTCACATAAGATGATTCCCTCTGGGTGTGTTTGTATGTTCTATTATAATCTAAATGTCAATCCAGTTATGATGTGAATGTTTGGGTCTCCCAACCTAAACTGATATATTGAAACCCTAATCCTGACAGTGATGGTGTTAGGATGTGGGACCTTTGGTCAGTGATTGAGTCAGAAAGGTGGAGCCTTCCTGAATGGGACCAACACCCTTATAATAGAAACCTGGGAGAGCCACCCCTGAGGACACACAGAAGGCACAATCTATGAACCAAGAGTTGGGGGGGACTTCGCCAGACACTGAATCTGCCAGAGCCTTGGACTTCCCAGCCTCCAGAACCGTGAGAAATAAATTCCTGTCATTTATAAGCTGCCCCTGAACCAACTGAGACACATCCTCTATGACCAAACCCTGTATCCATTCCTGCCCCATTCCCTGACTCCTTAAGAAAGTTAATAAACTCAGGTGCAAGTAGATTTTTAAGAACTCAGGGAAGAAACTGGGCTTCATGCAGACCAACATGGTAGCGTGGTGGTTGTGGGGAAGATGGGGCGAGAGATGCAGCCCTCCTCCTTCAATGCCCCACCCCACTTTCTTACCACTACCACCACCAGCAACATGAGAAGGGCTACCAATGTTCACAGGGCCACACAATTGTGGTTTGGGGGAAGCGTTTCCGGATCTCCTAAGTGGGCAGAGGATTGGTTAACGTTTAGTTACCTAGATAGGATGTCATTGTTTCCTTCATCACATGCTTACGCATTTCCAGGAAGCTAAAGGCTTTACCTAATTGGCCTAGTGTTAAACTGATAATAGGTCATTGTAAATTCCCCAAGGCAGCAGCCAAACATCAAACTGGCTAATTAGCAACAAAATATTTCAAATATTGTTAACATTCATAGCAGGTTGTCAGAAGGGCAAATTCCCTTAGTATACACATTCAGATTCAAGTTCTGTCTTCATATACTTAAAAAAATAAATAAAATATTTACAAGTCACAAATACATTTAAAGCATCCTAGTCTTGTGTGAGTTCTTATGAACAGTTGCCTGTTCAATTTTCTGGTAAGTATTCACCAAAAGTAGCAAGAGCAGATTTTCTCCTTCTTCTAATGGTCAAGGTCCCAACTCACTGCAGTTTCCCAAATGAGTTTTTACGTAACTTGGTGCCCTCACAGCTGCATATATGGTGGTGTGGAGACAATGGAAAGGCTGACCAGAAATACATTCCTGACTGTGATTCCTGGCAGTTATTTATTTTTTGTGTGTGTGCCTGTTCAGTTCAATTCAACTAATATTTATGATGCAGACGCTGCGCTAGGTGATAGCAACACAGAAATGATTAATATCTAGCTCCGGTGCTCTATAGGTTCAACATCTAAATAATGAAATGCCATTCCTGTGATAGGAGTAGAATAGAGGCAGAGAACAGTAGGGAGAGTGGCTGGCTCCTCTGGAGAGGGTGGGAGGTCAAGGAAGTCTGTAGTGTAATACAACGTCAGAATTTGAATGCAGTGAATTGGAAATGCAAAAGTTAAAGTGCATTTGAACAGGCACCAAAAGGCTAGAATGGGATGTCCAAGAAAACAAACTAGCAAATCTTAATGGGCAACTAATTCTACTAAATAGCTCAATAACAACCCTGAGGAATTGGGAGAGGAAAGGGCATCTCAAATAAAGAAGAAATGGATGAAGTATTGAGTCCTTTTGGTGGTTGATAAGTAAGGGACTCCTACCAAGGCAGGTCATGGCCCTAAAGAAATCAGCCCTAGGTCCTAAGAATAGCCACATGTTTTGAGAGTCAGCATGTTAAAAGTAAGAATCTAGTATTTGTGACTTTGAAAGAACAGCATTTCTGTCTGATACTCAGACCTAAGCCAATAATCAATTGTTATTGCTGGAAACTTTGTTCCTGGCTATATCCCCCCATCCCCCTAACTCAAACACAAAAGATGCTCAATAAATAATAATAATAAAAAGTTATCATTTCTGGAGCTGTTTTTTTCTACATGTCAGAACTGTTCTCTTATGGGTATTAACAAATCTGACTAGGTTTAAAAAAAAACTAGGAGTCTCATGGAAAATTTGCATTCTCAGAATTTACAGTCAGCATTCACATGTACCCCCTCCGTGGGCAACTTCATCCCTGCCAAGGTTTTAACTACAGTGCATATGTAAATAACCTTCAAGGCTAGGTCCCAAGCAAATCTATGATGGGAATGCCACTTATGGGCTCTGTTTTTCAAAGATTTATGGAACATCCAAATGAAACAAAATAAATAAATTCCAATAACTATAAAAACCCACATTATGTGGGCTTCCAGGGAGGATTTTGTAGATCTCATTAGATAGCACTGAGGTTTTGTTTAGAACACAGAAGAAGTCAGAACCATAAAGTAGAAACATTTTGCTATCCTACCCCAGTAATAGAACATTCAGTCTCTACCCCTCCTCCATATACAAAAAGTTAAATGACAAACCATGTTAGAAACCTTGCAAATCTTACAAATGAAGCACAAAATGACAGGACACAGACATATGGCAATTTCTACCATGACCTTGCAAAACAAAATAGCATATTTTTGAATGAAAAAAGCAGGTGAGATGACATTTAATAAAGTAGGTTAGTGGAATGCCTCAGGATAACACCAATCTATTTACTAACTGCCATTTCTTATGATCATTTCTCTTAGTAATCTAGATCCAACAATCTGGAATCCAAATTTAATGAAACTCTATTAAATAGAGTAATTAATTTTGTTTAACTTTAAATGCATTCCAAAATATATGTTTATAGGGTTTTTGCTATTTCTATGGAACCTCTCTCTTAAGTTTTCAAAAGTATTTCTAAAAAATTTTCATAGAGAAAAAAAAATCAGTAAGAGAGCTTATGTATAATGGCATAATTTGGCATGAACATACTTTATATACAGAGTTAAGAAAAACTGTGCTGTGAATGGATAATTATGAATGTAATGCATTCCACTATTGCCAGTATGTAAGAAATTTTTTTAAAAAAGGTAATTTAATGGGGAAGGGGTGGAAAAAAAAAACAGAAAAAAAAGATGGAGGGAGCTGAAAGGTAAAGTAATTTACCCAAATTCCCAAAACTTGAGACAAGCAAGGCAGTGTTGAAACCTGTCTGCCCACTAAATAAAGGTGGTGGGAGAACACAAAGTATTCCTAATATCCCAGGCAAAAAGGTAGCATCCTTCCTTTGAGTAATTTCCCTTCCTAGGCCTCTTTCTCAAGATGCTGATAAGAAACATTGTTTTTCTCTTACCCTATTTCTGGATAGGCACTGTTAGGGAGAAAATAACTTTATAACACATTTTCATAAAGTATCAAAGAAAGTTATGACAAGAATAAACCTAACAATGAATTCCTGAAAAGCTGCTGACTTCACTAAAAACTTACTATTAACACTTTGGCATTTGCTAGAGCACTCATCCTGACCATGTTGCCTGTGCAAATGCAAACACCCATGTGGGGTTCCATCACAGAAGAAGTTTGCAAAACACTTTTGATTACAGCTCCTCCCACATTCCTCTTGGGATCATTAACATGGAACCATCTATGCTTTTTAAATTCTAACCCAGGGTTAACCAAACTTATGTGACCTGGACACTTCTACAACATACTTATGATTTTGTTTTGTTTTCAGAAGACATGTTAAATATTTCAGAACTATTGTTTTGTGGAGCACCTTATAAAGCATTGTTGCAGTCTATATATCATTATATATATATGGTAACTTAAGGGATATATAGATGTTCCTCTCAACACCCTTTAATAAAAACCAAAATGTCAACACTTCTTAGAGGTTATTGGACACTTGAAGTTTTTAATTAATATGCTTATTATGCTTAATATTCCAGGAATCAAGCATTTAAAGCCAAGAGGCACCATCTCCTTAAGAGAGCCAACCAACCAACAAGTCTAACCAAGCCCTTGGCTGCCCTGTCGCTATCCATTTCAAGTGGAAGAAAAGAGGCTACCACAGGTATGGATGAGCCCACACTCTGCTGCTATTGGTACATCCAACACTCGCTTCTCAGCCTTTTGGCTAAAATCAAATGTAGTTCACACAAAAACAGTACCTCCAAACTGTTGATTCCTCATCCTAAGTACTGTTCCAGTGTATGGCTTCATTACTACCAGCTCAGCCCAGATTTTTGTTACTGCAAATCATTCTGTTTCAGGCCCTCTTTTCACTAAACAGATCCCAATAAACATCCTTTACCCTCTATTGAAGAATCTAGAAATACTATGAGAACAAGTCCTTATCTTCAAAAACCATGTCATGCCCACTTTATATTTTGTATTACTCTCCATTCACTACAGAGGACAGTGTCTTCAGTCTTCTTTGTGAATTCCATCTCTTCCTGCCTTCCTTGATTTTCTGTCTATATTTTCCTTTCTTTCTCATTTTTCATCCAAACCTCATGCATCTTTCAAATTCTACCTCCCCTGACAAGGCTTTTAGTAATTTTACCCAACATTGATCTCTCTCTTTCCTGTACCAGAGTTGAGGGTACTATTAAATGCATTTAATACATGATTATATAATTTCATTTTATTCTCTGTTACAATTGTGTATGTTTTGTTCCTATCTTACCACCCCTCATTTCTAAATATAAATCTCTTAAAAGAACAAGCCTTGTCATAATCTTAATTTGTATTCTCTACCACATTAATCATGCACTGGAAATGTAAGAAATATACTTCCTGAATCAATGACTGGAATGAAAACAAAATGATAATTATAAATGGATATCATGCAATTACTAATGAAAGCCAAATAGGACTCTCCTTGATAACACATTATTTGGAATAATTTTAAAATACTGTCTACTATGAGCAGCATAATTCCATCTTTGTAATACTTTATAATTCAAACCTTTCATCATTGCAGACTATCTCCCCCCAAATGAACAAAGGTTTCTTTTCTCTAAGAAGGGATGGAAATGAAGAAACAGGCATGACTGTTGGGTTTTACATCTCCTAAAACCAGGGGTATGTTGGGCAGACCCAAAGGTGATCCACAATTATCCTTGCCTCTTACTATTTCCTCCTGTGTGAAATCCTCTCCCGAGTGTAGGCAGGACATATGATCTGCTTCTAACTAATGGACTTTGGGACAGATATAGGATACAATTTCTATGAATAATAAATAATAATAAATAACTTCTATCTTGCCTTCTTTGCTTGCATGCTTTTGATGAAGCAAGTAGCCATTTTGGAAATACCCATATAACAAAGAACTGTGGGTGGTCTTCAGCCAACAGTAAGCTAAGAACTCTGGCCCTCAGTCCAATAGCCCTGCAGAAATGGGATTCTGCCATCAAACTGGTGAGCTTCGAAGCAGATCCTCCCCCAGTGAAGCCTTCAGATGAGATCCAGACCTGCCTGACCCATTGATGGCAGCCCTATGCAAGTTCCCAAGGCAGATGGCCTAGCTCAGTCATTGGATTCCTGACCCCCAGAATCTGTGAGCTGGCAAATGTGTATTGTCTTAAACCAGTCAAGTTTGTAGGAAATTGTTATTCAGCAATGAATATCAAATAAGAGATGTTAAAGGAATAGGCTTCTGATTTTTTCAATGACTGACAGACATTAAGATGTACCCTATCAAAAGAACCAACTTGAGATCTAAATATTCAAGATAGACTCTCTCCCATTGTGAAAATGCTGAAGAAATTAAAACTATCTTAATGATACCTCATTGAAGCTTGAAATCACAGACACAATCATTAAGAATCCACATTATAACATTGTTTAAAGTCTTGGCCCCAGCATTTGGAGTAGATTTTTTTTTAAGTCTTTGTTAGATGTCTCTATCAGATGCGTCTGTCAAAGGTCACACATCCTAAAAGTCACTAACTCTTTGTGTAGAGTTTATTACGGTAAACATTTCATTACCAAGTATGAAAATTCTTTTAATTGGTAAACATCTATTAGCTAGATACTTAATGGGAAAGTACGTTGAAACAAGTGAGTTGAGAATTGCTAATTAGGATAAAAATCGGACTTTTTTTTACAAGTTTTCATCTCACATCACTACCTCATTTGTTCTTTGTTTTCTTTTTATTTGGCAGTTGAAAAAGCCCCTGGATATTTTGAATCTCTTAAAAATTTGTGATTGATTCAGTGAAATAGTGGCTCCTAGACTTTCATGTTTCAAGAACAGGGAGGTGGGAACTAAAAAAAACAGGTAGTTGAATGAATATATTATACTGCCATAGACAATAACTATGTCTATGGCAGACATTTGGCCAATTTTAGTATATTAAAACAATATCTGTGTGCTATGATCATTTCATAGAGAAAGGACAATTCAATCTCAAGTAGCAAAGACAGTATGTCAAAAAATACAAAACTTTAATTTCAATACGTTTTTAAAGGAAAAAGAAAAAGAAAAGCTAAAAATTTTCAACATAAACCTAGCCTACTATACTCCAAGGAAGGAAGTCTCATCTTATTTAGGAAACTTGAGGTGAACTTCTTTATAAATTCTGGATATATAATTGATAACAGCTAACAATATGTTTACTAAGGTATATGTGTTTCCATCAGCCTTGTATTTAAGTATATATTCAGATCTTTTGAAATGTAGTAATTGTCAAGTTCAGATATTTTAAACAAATTCTTCTCCATACTCCTACAGACCGAAATGTTACAATGATCACTGACTCAACTGATGACTAGGATCCAAAGATGACATTCCAGCCACCACAACCTCTGGGGCCGCCATCTTGGATCACAGCACAGAACCCCCAGAGGCAATAACCAACCTCTGGAGGCCTCCACATCCAAACCTGAAATGTGCACTGATGGCAACATTTTACAACTACCTTCCACCCCCATGAACAAAATTAAGTCCTCACAGAATCTGCCAGTCCCCCAAAGTAATGGACTTATCAAACTCTGACAGCAGAAAATCACTATGACTATATAGGTATCTCAGCATTTGATCTCACACTCATAGTGAATGTACAGATTGTTTAGCCACATATGTTTTTATTACTTTGAACTACATCATGGAATTTAATTGGCAAAAGCTCCACCACTCCAAGTATTGAGTTCCTCTATAGTTCTTTGGGGGTGACCTTTCATGGTGCCTATATGCTCCTTCAGAAACTTGGGGAACTATAACTGAAGGAAGCACTCAGGCATCTGTTGTGGAAAAGAGCAGTCTCTGAGACAAATGTCAGGGCTAGAATTAAGCTGATTGGCACACATTAAAATGCAACATAATAGTGTATTTGTCGCAGTGGCCCACTCCTGCAGTTGGCTCATGAGGAATAATGATGGCTTACTGACGAGAAACTGGGGCTCAGCCGCTTGATAACATTGTTGCGCTGATGGTTTGAAGTGGCCCCACTGTTGCCTGCATTTGGCAGGAAACAGCAGCCATTCACTCATTCAGGCAGGGCGCTAAAAAACAGAGCCTCAGCCACACACAACAATGTCCATTTTGAAAGGCTTAAATAAAGCAAGCTCTGCCATAATTTCTATTGTCATTCTTCTCCCACTGTTTATATAATATGGCCAGGAGTGGGACTGTAAACTCATATTACATTCAAGAGAGCCTCAAACAGCAAACACCAGGGCTGTGTTTTGCAGGGAGAGGATTACCAAGCTTCCCACAGAGGCAGGCACGCAGGCACACGCAGCCACCTGACTTATTAAAGCGGTCCTTTCCGGGGAGAAGAACATTGCCTCTGAAATAATGAATTAATTTGGCATTTCCTTCGGTCTCAGCGCACACTGTGCTTCCCTAACCATGAAAACAGCACATCTTCACAGAAACATCTCTAAAATGATGTGCCTACTCATAGAAAAGATCAATTTAAATACACTCAAACCCCAAGAGGGCAATTCAACCTGAAAAGTTTCCCTCCAAAGTTAAGACAGATTGTCCAACTAGTTTTCAAGTCCAGCATAGAATATTATCTTTGCCCGTATTTCAGCTTACAAACCCTCTCTCAATATGTGTGTGTACACACACACACACACACTTATTTGTAGCTCTTTATACACCAAAAACAAAGTTTTTGCTATGTCAGCATAAAGACTAGTGCAACAGAACTGAGAAAATTGTCCTGTAATACAGGGAATAGACAGAAAGTTACAGAACATGACTTCAGTCAGCATGGTTGCACTTGGGTTGATGAAAGAAAAGGAGAGATGAATGGGTTTATAAAAGGGGTGGGGGTGAGAGGGAGAGAGAAGTTGATTAAAATCATAGCTGGTGGGTCCTGAGTGGAAGATATGAATTTGAGAGGAGAAAGGCCAGACCTGGTGCAGAACAACCAGGATAAAATACAGCTTTAAAGTACAATTAGCAGATGGCGGGCCAGACACTATGCATTTAAAGGAAGAAGTGATAATTATAAACAGCTAAGCAGAGGATGGAAATCCAGAGGTGATAATGTGGTATTGCTGAGATGGGGAGGGGGTGGAACTCCTTGAATCAAGTGCAAGAGGACAAAGCATGCGGTCCACCAGCACCAGGGCATATTAAGTGAAAAATCAGAGCAGACAGCTGTGGGTTTTCTTTTTTTGCTTTCATTCTTAGGTCAAGTATTATTGCCACTGAATTTCCCAGGTTGGATTCTGCCTGGCATCCACCAAAGAAACTTTATTGTTAGGAAAGTTAAAAATCCCTTAAAACCATATTCTAGTCTTCTCTGTATTTTCCTGACAATAACTTTTGATGCCATAGACATGACACTTATTATTTCCATTCTCTATCTCTGAATAGGTGCTGGAAGGCTGTTTATGCCAAGTAATTTTAATACTGACAAAACCAGGAAGCATGGTTCATTAGCATGATGGGTAAGAGCCGGATACTAATAAGCAAGGGCAGTAAAGCAATGGTTCCCCGAGGTGGCTCTCCACCAGGAATCATCTGGTCAGATTTTAAAATTCCTCATTCCAAGACTGCATCCCAGGCAAGATAAAGAAAAATCTCTGGGGGTGAGATGCCAGATT